ATAACGATTGTGTCTTTGGTTCAGGGGAAATAAATAAGACACTCGAGTCGATTATTGAGATTTTTTTTTTTTTTTTGTAAAATGTTCCCTGTTTATTTTATTTTCGCTTTATTTTTCGGTCTAAATTTCATAAGTGTGTGTACGTTCAAACGGTAATTGGCTTGTTTCGAAAACTATATTACATCGATTTAAGCTTGTAGGAACCTAATAGTTACAATTTAAGCGGTAGTGTAGGTATCTATAAATAGGTATTTTTCCAAAAATCAACTTAACTCGAGCCATTAATTGAGTTAATTCAATTTTCAAATTAACTTTTTTACGCTCTAATTCTCGTTAATTTTATTCAAATAAACTTCGTCTAATCAAAGTCGTATTATGCATTGTCACGATTGTCCAGCTTTGGATAATTTATTCGAAATTCAAATATTTATCCGGGAATATAATTAGTATATGCATATCGATTCGATTTCAACGGTATTGTTATTTCAATCGATTCAATGTCATGCTTAAAGCTTATTATAATATACAGTACAAAAGTGTATTGTATACGAAATGTAGATATTATGTACGACATCAATTATTATTAATTTTTCCGACAAATCGTCATCACATATTAAGGAAATAAAAACCATTTTGAACGAAGCCAGAATACAAATTATTTACCTTGTAGTTTATATTTGTATAAACTGCACTGATTTTTTTTACATTTACATTTTTTATCCTACATATAGGAAAATACCGTCGGGAATTTTTTTTCATTCTCAATAAATACAAAATATCCGTAAACCGTGCAATATTATATGTACAATCCTCAGATTTTATTTATTCATTTATTCATTTACGCATATACAGTTATACCTTATATCCGTATATAAATGGTATATTATTATTATTATTACGTGTCCAATTTTTTTTTTCGTAAATCCGCAATGTAATGCGGAAAATACGTTTTATGTAAAAATGAAGGTGTATTATTTAAAAACGCATTTCACTTCTTTTTTTTTTTTTTAATTTAAATACACCGTCCTGCATGTGTTGAACAAATAGAATAACGTCACGATGATAGTGTAAATACCTAATTTAAAATCACAGTAGTTTTTTTTATATATATAAAAAAAAGCAGAGTAGGTAATAATAACTGACATGACGCCGAGGAATACGAATTATCTGTACGAGTGTTTACCCCATCACACGAGATGCTAATGCCGATCAATAATGACGTTGACCATAATATTATAGGTAAAGTAATCGCTAGAGGCAATGTGGACAGATTTAAAATTTGTTCATAAAAGATGAATAAACTCCTTAAGCACGTAAAGTTTTATAATGATTCATAAAATGACTGTATAAATGTATAGATGGCAATATTATCTAACACTACATTAACGTGTAATTTATTTTAACAGTTTCTTTAGAGACATCAAGTCTTTCTAAAAAATAAAAAATGTGCACATGTAACCATTTTGCGTTTAACAATTCATATACAATGTAAAGCATCGCAATCAACAACACGAATTAAGCGTTAATAGTGATGTGATCAGGTCTCTTCCCCTTTCGTAGACATGATGAGGAAAAAAACATCAAACATCAAGGATTCCAATGTCATTATCGTCTGGGACACTAGACCACTTCCATTCGCTCCAATCGTTTACGTCCGACCTTAATTGAAAATAACTTTTTGCATGCGAAACTGTGTCGGGTAGGTCACAGGGGAAAAAGGTTTTATTTCTTCCATGGATATCGCTCTTTTGTTATCACGAGAGGAGAACGATCCGGGTCCCGTTTAAATAAAATAAAGTAAAGTAGATTCATAATGTAAGTAATAAAAATTGTCGTGATATTTGTCTAGAAGTTTGTTACAAATAGTTGACGTCAGACGTACCCGTTTAACGCACTCTACGACTATACGGCAACAGACATCGACAGTAGTACCACGTGTATACTACTTTGAAGTAACTTAGAGGTTTTTATTTGTTTTTACTGGTTTAATCGACCCGAGTAAAGGATACATGTTATTATTATGTCACTATTATTCTATCGATACCATCATTGTTCATTGTCATTTATTCAGTGATTATATACTATAGTAACAATAATGTACAATCCTTTCTCGCTACAAGGAGGTATGGGCTAGTTTCTACACTCACAAATATTCCATTAGAATATTTTAAAAACGTAGACACAGATTATCGATTATCGTCTTTCCCTAAAGGATCGAAGAAACACCCAGTGTTAGATCTCGTAAGTACTCTTTCGTATCCGCAGAATTGGTTAGATTGGATTCCCGAGAGGCAGAACTTCGTGGTTTACTGTTCGTTACAAACATATAAAGAAATATCAGGACAATTGTACCTAATCCACTAAAATACTTTAAGTACTTTAATACTTTAAAGATAATTTTATATCATTGCGTTTTTACAATGTGTAAAAACACCAGAACTTTTTTAGTAAACGAAATTTGAAGGCTTTCCAAATACAAATTTAACAAATATACGAAATAGCGAAACTAAAAGGTATTTGCTCTAAATGTATTTTAATTTAAAATCAATTAGATAGGTGTAATACTCGTATATCAATTATAGTTAAAAAGTTATAAATTACATAAATCCATTCAGTTCATTGTAATTATTAACTGCGGGAGATTTACGCGTATTTAATTGCAAAGGTAACGTATAAACACAACGCATAAAAGAAAAAAAAGTAATGCAATAGAACGTCAATTATCTTCAAAATAACTTAAAAAAAAAAAAATTCTAAGCTCAAGACACAATGATGTCATATACTTTCTAAAAAAAAAAAGGTGTACCAAAAATGCGTAACAACAAAAAAAGGTAATAATTTTTTTTTTTTAACGTATTAAAGTTTACATTTGTTTATGTTTTGCACATCATGTTAGCTTCTAATTTAATAACTAAAGATTCGAATTAATTTTCTTTTATTAATTTTTAACTTTTAACCAAACGGTTATTTATCGTTATTTAATTTAATTAAGCTGATTATTTTCCTACCTTTGAATAACAAGAATTTGGTCGTATAGAGAAGTTTTAAAACAGAAAAAAAATTGAAAGATAAATAAATTGTGAGAATAATTTATGTTGTGTACCTATACATGAAATATGCATAATATTATATGCGTGGTAAACATATTTGTTTAAATTATTATACGCGTTTTACAAGTAGGTACATATGTCTACCTACTTAGATACAGAATATTATTATTAATATCTATGTATACGAAAGGAAGATAAATATTTTGCATTTCATACAGTTTCTACATATATATATATTTTAATGGTATGCTGTTATATTCTACTCGTTAATAACATTTTGTAATGAATATTTTCCACGCAAAAAAATCACAATCGCATGAATAAAGTCTACTTAAAACAATGCCCATTTACATCGTGTATTATAACAACCACTGTTTATTTTGTGTATATTCTTGCAACACTTAGAGTGTTTCTTATTCAAATAAGTCCACAAAAAAAAAAATTATGTATATTTACCGTTATATTGTTGTGCACAAAGTCGTTTTTGTGTGAACGTATTTTGCACTATGATATTATTTGAACATAGAAAGAGCAAATATTTCGTTTTATTACAACGCTGATAACTTTGCAAAGTATGACGGCACATGGAAACTACACGGTAAAACAATAGGCATCTCAATCTCAATAAACTCCAAAATTTAATTACCACTAATTTACCGGCCAATTTTTTCGATTCGCAATGACAATCGAGAAACCCCCGTTTTAGAATATTGCTCGTGGAATCCGCAAAAATTTCAAATAATAAATATTAATAACTCAACAAAATTCTAGGATATTTAGAAAATCGTACTACGTCTACCACGATTATTTGATAAATTTGTCAGGCTGTCTTTAAAATTATATTTTTCACAGTATTACTAGCAAAAAAAAAAATCGACCTTAACCTTCATTTTTATACTCTCCATTTTTCGGGCTTTCGGTATAATTAGAGAAATTACGTAATATTATGGAAAATTAATAAAAAATATTCATTTCTCAATGTACCAATTAGATTCAAAACTCACTATCAGCAACCACTCTTAAAATTAATGATTATAGCAAGTATTCTGCCGAGAAAATTATAGATAGACAGTTGGATGAAAATCAAGTACTTTTATCATCGTACATTCCGTCTATACTTCGGGGACATTTTAATCTGCACTATGTGAACAATTGATATTCAAAATCAATAGGTAATATAATAAGTTCCCAAAGTGTATTCGAATTTGTAGAACAAATAAAAGTTGAGTTTATCGAATAAAGATCCGTGAATATTATAGCGGTTATTATTGCTCATAAATAATATCCCGAACCGTATACGCATTTTTCATAGAAAAAAAAAAAAACAAAACGAAACAAAACATTGCAATAAATTATATTTCAGAAAATAGTACGAGAATAATAACATACAACCTATGGATTTTTTCCGGCTACAATAAAAACAAAACGAGGAAAAAAATCACGAACAATTTGCGAATATTCCGATATTTTTTCGGCTTACTTATATGGTATACCTATACTGTGATCGCAGGGTTTGTTGTTTTTCCATTTGTCCGCCCGGCCGTTCCTCCCACGACCGACTCCCAAAGTCAAAGCGTATATACGTCACGTATTGACCGTATTCTCTTTTGAAAACCAAAGAAGGCTGCAATAATAGCGGTCGGCGAGAAATATAATATAGATAATTTATATCTGGTCGGAATTTCGTAAAACAGTCGCGTTTAAGCTTTACGGCATCCCCTATATACTACCGGACGTTGTATTTACAGACTTTAACCGAGTTCGGTCCGGGCAGAAACGTAACCCAGTTGGATTTAGGAGTATGAGAAGACATAACCTACTTGTGATTGGACGAAACCCGATACTATTCCGAGGAAGTTGGCACTCAGAGTGTAAATCTAAAACCTAAAACCATACATATAATCAATAAAAACCGCGACAGATTGCGTATTGTTTATATACCGCCCGGGCAGAACTCGGATATTGTAAAAACGCTACCGGGCCGGTCCCGTGACGGTTTCGTAAAATTATCAAACTGCATTTGCCGCGCCGCTGTCGCGCGTGCTTAGTTTTGCCAAATCGCTTATCAACGTCGTCACAAAATTATTATTATTGGACGGCTTATCCGGCAATTTCGCGGTACGGTTAAAAAGGCGGATTCCTATCGGCGAACAAAATCGAGAAACCACAAATACAATTCCGTAACAGCGCCGTGGTTCTGTTGGTGTAAACGAAGGCGCGAAATGTAAGTATAAAGTAAGTATTTTTCCAAGAGTTTTCCACTGTAGGGATTTACAATCCGCACGCACTTATAAGGTTTAAACGAGGACGTGGCGCAGTATAATAGTACTACGCGTATACCTATTTATAGTAATACGCATTGTTGTTCTTTCAATCCTATAATCCACGAATTAGCGACAAATAAATTCAATGTAACGAGTGGCCAAAAGGAAATAAATATCGAACAATTATACGGGAGGGGGAAAAAAGGTGTAAAGGGATGTGTTTTTCCCCCTTCCGGGTATTTTTTTTTATTGCGAAAGTTTTCGTTGAAAACAACAGTTAGTGACAGGCGAACGCTGTGCTTTTAATCGTGCCGCGCCGGCTATTGTTTTTGTTTGTTTTGTTTCGGTTTTTTTTTCCTAAAGAGAAATTAATGAAAAAGTTCGAGAGAACAGTAGCTATAACATATTATTATTTGTAGAACTGCGGTCTCGTAAATTGACGAGGTGAAAAAGTTTGTCGCGTTACAAACATTTCTAATCTCCAGCGCCTGTTGAACGTCAAACCCATACCATTATATTATTATTGTATATAGATAAAGTAAAATTAAAATGCCGGGATCTTAACGAATCCCGTCGAAAGATGATAAAAATAGTGTAGTTGTATCGAGAAGTTATTCTAATGATTAGTTGTTTTCGTTCGAGAAAAGCAAAAATTACAACCGATCGCGATGATTAATCAGTTGGTAAATTATTATTATTCTAGTAAAGCCGTTCGCGAAACGCAGCGCTCAATTGTTTTTAAACCGTATATAATGTAAAACAAAAGATGACATATTTTTATTCTATTGTTGGTTTTTAAATTTAAAAATGTTTTTCTTATTCTGTATATTCGTAGATTGAAATACTATAAATATTACGGCAAGATTAAAAAAAAAAAAACTTATATTTTCATTATTTATTATTTTGTCTGGAGTATATAATTTCACGGCAGGATTTTTAAAAAGGACCCTGTTTATTTGTTTCATAATTTTCCGCAACCGAATATAAAAAAATCAAATCTAATGAACGCATATTATTATAGGTAGGTATATTTATGATATATAAAACATACCTATATAATCTTATTAGGTTTCTGGTATTTTTCAATATAATATACTGTCGTATATAAATACTATATTTATAATATTCATATAATAATATCTGACATTCCCAGACAATGTAATATTTATAAATTATATAGGTTAATATATTTTGAAAAATACATAATAATATAATAATATAGTCACTATTGATTTAACGAGTTTTGAAGAAAATATAAAATATAATGATTAGTGAGTGATATGTTATAAGCAATTTCTAAACCCGAAACGAAACAATATTTCACGACATTTAACCGAGTTATAAAAAAAAAACGAAAAAAACTACCGTGTGGCTTACACCTGTACCGAAGCGATTGTCCGATTCGAATTTCGGTTCAGTTTGGTTTTTAACCGCTTCGCAAAAATATTTGAATTCATCGACCGAAACAGGTAATACTATGGGTTATAAATTAAATTCGTATTAGTTTTCTCATTAATCATTAGTCATTTCATATTTTTTGGTGTTTCGGTATCATCTTTCATAGTATTACGTAGTCAAAAGTATTTTAGTACTTGTAGATATGCCGCACTTTCGAAAATCGTTACAATATCGTCTTGAAAATTCAAAAAATAAAAAAAGAATCGCATTCGCCATCTGAAGAGCTATTATGTTCCGCAATTGTTAAGTACAATATAACTGTATAATACAGCGCAGTGGCACTGTATTCGTCAAAAATCGAAAAAATATTGCAGAAAATACAATAGGTTATTTCTTGTCGTTATTATCACGACATTATAATACAATCATCACCCGTTTAATCGCAATCATTAAACTAATTAGGTTTGTAACAAAAATTCAAGCAAATAGGGATAAGGAATATCAGCTATATCTAAAAATATTCAGCCCAAAAGTTGGTTTCGGTCCGTTTGATTCGGTTTACCACGTCGCGTGGACTAAAACCAAAATTTACTTATTCTGGGCTTTATTTTATTTTAAACGCTAATCCACGAGATTTGAAATTTGTCATTGAGAAACCAAAAAAATTAAACCGATCGGCAATCACTATAACTGGGGGTTTATTGTAATAGTGATAATATTAAGTGTTTTTTTTTTTACATTTTTTAGCGATGTGAAATTAGCCATAAAAATATTTCGGTTTTTTTTTATGATGGTTATTTATCTATACGTTGAAATATATTATAATAAAGTTTAGATATCTAGATAGTATAAACAAAATTATTTTTAATGAATTCATATTTCGCGTTCGCTATATTATCTTCTTTTTTAAAGGAGTGAGGGTATATAAGGGGTACACTTAAAAAAAAAAAAATAACGTTCCGTTTTCTTTACGGCATACACCGAGGAAAAATTTCGCGCGCACTTATGTAGGGTGGCGGCGGCACAAGTTTGCTATTATAATCTAGTGATAATATTTTTGCGATTAACGGCCGCGTATCGAGTGCAATAAGCTTTTGCACGGCAATCGTCATCTCCGGTGTCAAATATTATCATATTAAACTCGGTCGTTTCCTTTTGACACTGCGCGTGGAGTTGCCGGGGGTCACGTCAGACGAAACCGCGAAATTTGATCGACTACCTCCCGACGACAGACTCGAGTATCCCGTAGCAGTAAGTTTAAGATACCTACACGTTATTGTTTCGGAACTACTTGTATACAATATATATTTATATAGGAAAATACTCGGAATTCTCGGGGGGTTTAACGTGCACGCGCCGCTTACACAATATTACTATTATTATTATTGTACGCGCACGCCTCTATATATAACAAATTATATACACCGCAATTATTTATTATAGGTAACCGGGGCAAGCACGAGCACCAGTGACGGAGAGAGACAGAAAGGGAGAGAGAGAGAGAGAACGTATATAAGTAGGTATAAAGGATTAAAGGGATTTGTGAACCCCGTGCGGATTTTATACGGGCCAACTACGAGATAACCACACGATACAACCTATATATATATGTAGAGAATAATACCGTTAACCTAAAACGATATCAGTTTCCTGTTTTTGATCTTTAACAATCGTTTTCAATGGTAGTATATACATGTATAGGTAGTCAACGTACTCCAAAAACACGAGCTACTGCGACCAATAATAGAGCTCGAGATCGGTTTGCACCGCGGAGTACCTATACACAATAATAATATCGTTTGTTTTTGCGCGGTATCCGTTCCGTCAGCTTTTGGAAATTGTTTTCCCGTATAGTCCGTCCGCGTGCGTGCGAGAAACTTAAATTATTCGACTTTTGTAAATACGGCTTTGGTATAATAATATTATTATTATTATTAACTTTGGACAAATGGGTGATTTGTGATGGCGCGGAGGCGGTATAGGCTTCTGTTTCGTAGGGTACACATATTAACTTTTGTTTTACAATATTATAATATACATAGATCGGGCGTAGTAGTATATTATAATATAATATAATAGCGTCACGAGGGGCGGCGAGCAAAAGGAGCACAAAGTTCTGACATAATTGGCGCATTGTTTCCATCACACACGAGTAGAGTACGTGCAGTATTATCTACTCCTCTGTTTCGGCGGACGTGAATAATATAATAGTAATAATAATAATACAATATACTATTGTATATACCTATTATATATTGCATACACATATATTACACTGCCTACCAATTTTCGTTTGTGGTTTTTTTCACGCTCGGTCAAGGACGAAATTAAGAAATTACACACTCGTTTAAAGGGGGTTGCGCATTCATTCGTTATTTATCTTGTAGAAAACCTTTAAAGACCCATCGTCGCCACCATGGACTACTTCCATTCTTCGAAATTACAGTTCAATTTTAACCCAACAACAATTAAAGAGACGTCCTAGGAAAGTGGAGACGAGTATAGCTACTTTTATAGATAATTTAATATATACATGTAAGCAACAATAAATCATTGCTTAGAAAAAAATGATTCTGAGCGGAATTCAGTTGACAGTGATACCTTGTCAACAATATATGTGTCATTTTATAGTAAAATAATTAAATAGGCTTGATAAATTTTCTCTAATATTATTTGTTTAACGTTGTACCGATTTTCCCAGTTTTCCTATGTTTTTCTAAGTTTTTCATGTTTTATTCCGGTTTTTCACATTTTCTGGGAAAAGTTTTGGAAAATCAAAAAACGACCTTTTTAAAGTACCTCTCCAGTAAAATTTCCTTTCAGAAACATTGCTATCATTAAAAGTTTGAGCAAAATTGCTGGTAGAAAAGTTGTGCATAGAAAAAAAGCCATAATATATTTTAACTAATATCTACATTTCTTATATATTTTCCCATTATATGTTTTTTTTCAGTTTTTCTAATTTGATAAGAAAACTTTTGAGAAAATCAAAAAATCACTTCCTTAAAGAACCTCCCCACGCCGATTTCTTTTCTGAAAAGGTGTACTACATAGAAATCCGAGCAAGTCTTCTGGTAAAAAAGTTGCGCACAGTTAAAAAAAAAAAGCTATAAGCTCCATTCAGAATCTTAAATATGTAAGAACTGTGTTTATGAATCGCAGTTAAATATTTTGTAAACTATTATTAATTTATTTCAGCTTTTGATATATCTTTTAATTACAGATTGTTAGTATATTTATATTAAATATATTAGAAATCAGGATAGAGTAAAATATCGTCCATCTCCACGAAAAGAATAAACGCCTGATAATAGAAAAAAAAATCATAGAACATAAGTAACCTTAAATTTGAATTGTCTAAATTGTAATTTAGTACATTGATAAGTGATAAATAATAATAATATTCAATTTTTTGAACAATAATATGATTACACGTAGTTTATCGGCAATCATAACTTTAACGTGCATTTTTGTCTATAATATAACAAC